AATTTCATGCTAGTTGACGATTTTATTTAGAATATATCTACAATTTTGAAAGAATTGATGATCACCGTTGGATTCCAACCTGAAAGAGACATTGTTTAAATTGTTGACCACATCGTAACCTAATTAATAAGGTTAGATCATCACTATGAACTGAATAAATGTGATATTGCTTACTACTTAGTAGTTAATCTATCTAAGAAGTTTTTACTAGTTATTAAAATTCTGACTTTGTTGTTAGTTGTGTAATTCGATAGCTCATACTGATAGCTAATCTTCCTATACACGAGTACAACACGTTATTCCAGTGGAAAGACTGGAAGTGAAATTTGTTCACTACTGGTTTCTAAATTTCTTGTCGTAGATTGTTATTCTGTGGAACATTTTATTTCATCACTGACTTCAAAAATGAGAAACTTTTAGCTAACTGCTACCTAATTTTGTATATTATACTATCTTTGCTATTAAAAGTCATTTCACCTACAATATATGATCTATGTAAAATAAATTTATTCAATTTAATGTTACTATGGGAATGAAACCACTTACAAACATTTTTTTCTTAAACTTATTCATGTCCTTTAACGTTACTATGGAAGTTATAAGATATAAATTTTAGAAAGCACAGCTGCACATACATATATTTATATAGAAGTAAATAGGGATATATAAATGTTACATAAGGAAATGAGATTTGATTAAGTTATATAACTGTCGTATAAGTTCAATGAGCAGTTACACATATAGTATACAACTCCTTAGCAAAAATGCTTTCCAGTATATATATACGAAAAGCGATTCATGGAAAGGTGGAACTTAAACACAAGAAATTATAGTCCAATTAGCTTTTTATTACCCTTTAATAACACTCTTGATTGAAATTTTATCTACTCTTTTAGGTAAATCTTAGGTGATTGTGTAAATATACATTTTCTAAGATAAGATCATTTATAGACTTGGGCTTTATATTTTTCAAACCAGTTTTCGTAATTATATTTGGCGTGGTGTTTGGTAAGAAAATCCAAATTTCTTTCTGCTTGAAACATATCAGCTGAATGTGTCTGTATCTCAGTCTGTAATTTACACCGAAACTCAGAGTAACTACTTGAAACGTTGATTGTTTACTGAATCTTGAAAGTCATACAACTTGTCCAAGTGGAACGTTGTTCGTTTTTATTTCTTAAGGTTTATATTGTCTTATTGATGATACTCAACGTTTCATTCATCCAATAGAGACTAAACAAAATCAGTTTCGACTGTCCACAATGGAAAACTATTGTAGAAAATCTATAGAAAAACGTCAATATTTCTGATATCCTCAAAACTGAATATTTGTAGTGGACGATAGCGAAGTTAATTGTCGTACTTCAAACCTCTACATTTACGTGGCTAACACTAAGTTGTAGTGCAACTAATAATCGAGTATACAATGACTTCCTAATATGTTCATGAAGAAACAACATCACTTTAGTTAAAGAATATCAAACTTGAAGGCAAATATATGATTAAAATTAAAACATGCATACGTAACACTGATCTTGATATTGGAGAATGATAGTTGGTGGTCTATACTCCATTGGGTATAACAGGCCTAAGTAAGTAAGTAATGAATGAATGAATGAATGAATGAATGAATCAATCAATCATAAGTTTTCAACCAATTCGAATCATGCTTTTATATCATTTTTTAATTGGTCACAAAAACATAATTGTTTTATTTATTATCAGAAGAGGTTTTGTGGAGATTGTAGTAATTTCAACAGTTGAGATCATGAGTCAATTGAAGCTAGACCACCATGGAAAACATGGAGGCACTGGACGGTCGTTTCGTCCCATTGTAGGACCCCTCAGCAGTACGCATCCGCGAGACTGATGGTTCCTGGGTTCGAATCCCGCGGGGTGTGGGATCATGGATGCGCACTGCTGAGGAGTCCCACAATAGAACGAAACGGTCGTCCAGTGCTTCCAGGTTTTCCATGGTGGTCTAACTTCAATTAATTCATGGATTCAACTGCTTTCTTTATGTTTGAAAACTTTTTCACTTCAATTTTTATTGATTAGTTTAACATTGAAATTTCTTAACTCTATACAATCAATAATGATATGAAGCGAGTGTGATAATTTAAAACGTCTTTTATAGATTTTCTTTTTCTTTAATTTTAATAAATTTGTATTTCATAATTGTGTACATTTAACCAAATCATAATCAATAATCTACATTGAACATTTGAAAAAGAAAAAGAAAAAAATAATAAGACCTTGATTATCTCTCTTGAACGAGTGTTTTAATTTATTAATGGCTAATATAAGTTTTAAAGAAGAAAAAAAACTTGTTTTTTGGAATATTTGAATTATCCGATCGATATATGATTACGTAATATGCTTTTGAAAAATTTGATTTATAAAGGTGGTTAAAAAAGGAATAATTTAACGAATATAATCAGTAACTGTTATGTCCCGACAAGAATAATGAATGGTGACTTTTGGGATCTATTGATGGACCAATACCAAACGTATATTTCTATTGTATAATTGTTAAATAGCTAAAGTATGCATATTCATATTCCTCTTATTATAAGCTTTATTTTGACTTATGAACAGTTATTATACGTTTTACTATTCTTGAGTTATACCCAGTATATTAATTACTGCCTCCCTTATTCACAGCCACATCTGGCTAATTCTTATACAAATGTTATTTCATATTTTATTGGTACGTTGTGGTCTGTTTCATTGGTATATAAACTCAGTATGTTTGAAATATAAGGATTTTATATTGCAGAGGCTGAGACTGGTGTTCTGGACTTAACTGTCTGGGCTAGGCGGAAAGCAGGACCAATCAGGACTCTAAGCTGCTTGCACATATTTTACGCATCCTTGGTTTAATCGATAATTCGCTGCTTCTGATTAGCAGCTTTGGGCCATAACAGTAACTTTATAGAATTAGATTTAAATTAATTTGAAAAAATTAGTTTATTTATTTCTATATTAAAAATTTCTTTTGTTTTTCCTTCTACATCAAATTCAATTTATTTCATGGAATTGTAATAAATGTAAACAACTTACAGTTTCAATTCACTTGGTGTTGTCTTACTTGTATCTTCCCATTGTTATTTAGGACTTCAATTGATCAGTTCAATGTTGGCATATCTGAATCCTGTGCAGATTGCCTCGATATTAGTCTTAAGTCAAAAGCTTTCTAAACAAAGATGAATAGTGGCTAGCAGTGGAATCCAGGACGCGAGTAGCTAATTGGATAACGAGATGGTGTTCGAAGAGAACGGTACCGGGTTCGAGTCCCAGAGTGAACATCAACTCTGAGATACAGGTACATCCAGCTGACTAGTCCCAAATAGGATGGGACGCGCATCCTGGATTCCACTACTAGCCACTATCCATCTTAAGTCACAGTTTCATTTTTACTAAATTAAGTTTTATAATTTGATGATTTGACAGGTTGTTATAATAATTTAAAATAAAAAGATAATAAACTAACAAAACATATATGTTAGTTATAAACTGAATAAACCATTAAAACTCAAACATCTTGTAAACAAAAAATTTGCTGACTTCTTACTTATTTTTGAGTACTTTTAGGCTGTTTACTTTTAGATCTAGCCAATTAAATATATCGCTTTCTAGATGTTAAGATAACTGATTAATGTATTATCAACTGTATTCGACGTTGTAAATATCCCTAACGTTTGATGAACTCAAAACTGGTCATTATACAAAAGATTATTAGTGTGAAGTAAAGCAATAATTGAAAGGAATCAAAACCCATGTAACTAGTTTCAAAACAAAACCTAGAGCCAACTTATAATCACATGTGATTCCTGAAAGCAAAGTATTTTATTGTGCTGAAGCTCAGAACCATAAATGACGTCTACTAATTAGTGAAACACTAGCATTGAATAAATCGGTTTAAATAAAATCCCAAATAGTTTAACCTTATAGGGTTCTTGTTTTCTAAACAAGGTGATGTTTATCTTTTTTAATTCTTTCCAATCGAACATAAGATCACATCATAAATAACATTATTAAACATAACCATTAATTTTGTCTTTCATACTAATAAAAAATTGGTTTATTGTGAGTTGAAAATATATATGTGGCTGTCTTAAATGTCTATATTTTCCATTCTATGTTATGAATGGTTTACCAAAACTAATTAATACTTCAAATTTAATACTAAATGGACTTTTAACATCACATTTCAAGTAATCGTGATATGATTTGAACAGTAAACTGTAGATGAGTCGTAGAATTACGTTAGGTATTTGTACACACTAACTAAATTAAAATAGGTAGTAGTAGTATTATAAACGGTCAGGTGTATCAGACAAACTCCTATGGTTTGCGAAATTTTAAAACACTCTGAGTGTTTGTTCAATTTATGAGATTAAGTACACTACACTGGTGAGTAAACGTTTTAGGTATTTCAGTATCTATTTTAAGTGATACCAATCAGGCGATACTATATATCTTTCTTTTAAAGTGTATATATTTTTATACATTCAACTCACATAATAAATCAAAATGATATATAAATATACTACTTTTCATATGATTTATTTACAGTTAGAATAGTATAAACTGAATCAACTAGTATTTAATATCATTTAATCAATAACTTACAATGTAAACAAACATTTACAATCAGGTTTCTTCAACCAACAGAAATAACTGACTAACAAAGTTATATTGTTACTCCTTCTCAAAATATGAATATAAGTCACAGACAGTTGAAATAAATCAATTTTATATATCATTTTCACCCCAATGAATTTAATCAATTGCTCGACAATTCACGTTGAAATTAACAAGCTTCATGTCACCGAAATCTGATCTAATCACACAATTTTAAATAAAGATTACTTGAACATTTATTTATTCAAATTGAATCGACTCATGTTTTTTGTTGTTGTAATTTTGAGTAGTTAAGACATAAATTATATTTAACGTACAATTTATATTTCCAATCTTTTTTGTTTTCTTAATAGAAAATCAACCAAAATCAAAAACAATAACGTCAATATTAAGTAAAAAGAAGAAAGATCAACCAAAACAGATTTTAATCGTTCAACCGACAACAAATGGTAATAAATCAAAGAATAAAGGAAAATCATTGATTTGTGGATGTGTTAGTAGAAAATCAAAAAAGCGATAACAAAACTTATAAAAATCAATTAACCAAATAAATAAATAATCCAATTTGTATGTGTGTTTTTGTTTGAATAACAAAATATTTTTTTCTTCATTATTTTCCTCATATAGATCCGTTAACAAAAAAAATAAAACATGATGAATGATATTTGAAAACATTATCTAATCTCCATGGCAAAAGTAATAATAATAATAATAATAATAATAATAACAATAATAATAATAATAATAATCGTACATAGAAACAATTTGTTCTTTCACAAAATATTCAACAACTTTAATGATTTAGTTTGATAAAATTACCTCGATCAATCATTTAAATGTTTTGTGAATGATTTAATTTAAACAATTTTAAAAGAATTTACATAGATACCAATACATACCTACTAAAATATGGTTAGAGCTTCATTTATAAATTTAATACAAATAACGATCGATAATTGAATTCTTACCCATTTGTTTTCCTTTAGCAACGAATTAATAAATAAATATCTGCCATATATATTACATTATAAATATGAACACATTGTCTTTGAACTGATATCGAAAATCAATAAAATGTTGATAATTTAAAATAAAATAATAAAACATTAACTATTTTAAATTTACTGTAATTTAATACGTTTTTTTGTTTGTTTTTTTCCCTCTCTCTCTCTCTCTCGTTCTCCTTTGCTCTTCAGTTAAATAAATTATTTTTCATTTTAGCCTTTTTTTCATTCTCTTTTATTCAGTTAACTAACATTTGGTTTTGTTTTTCAATTATTCATTATATAACTAAGAGATGGTTTTCTCTTTTCTTTTATTTTTCATGTTCATAAAATAAAACCAAAAAAGAAAAGAAAAGAAAACAGTATTAATATTATCTCATCCTATTTGAGAGAGAGAGAGAGTGAGAGAGAGAGAGAAAAGGGGGGGTGAATAATATTATTTCAAAGCTGTAAGATATTTACTTGTAAATCAATGATATACGATTGTTTAATTTTGAATAATTGATTATTTGATTGATTATTTATTCTTTTTATGAAATTTTCTTTTTTTCGATTTTAATCATTTATTTCGATTTATTAAAACAAAAAAAGAGAAAAAAAGAAAAAGAATGAATCAGTCAATCAATCATTTAATTCAAAATTATCTAATCAATTATTCAATTATTGTGTAACGTTTAAAATGATTCAATATTACTATTCAGTGTAGTTCCTTATCATTGATTATTTGTGCACTATTTTTAATATTATTAACACTGGAAACAAAGTTATTGTGTCATTATGAGGCTGATTTTAATGCCATGTAATAAACATTTCGTGATATTTGCGTAATTTTATGTGTTAGAAAAAACAAACGAAATAACTCTATATGAATGTAAGTGACATATAGGTATCATTACCAAGGTTTGACTTGATAATTTTTGAATAAATTGAGAATTGGGTAGATTGGATGCCGGCTCAGTGGTCTAGTTGGTTAAGTACCTGACGCGAGACTGGGTCCGAATCTCGCGGAGTGCGGGATCGTGGATGCACACTGCTGAGGAGTCCCATACTAGGACGAAACGGCCATCCAGTGCTTTCAGGTTTTCCGTGGTGGTCTAGCTTCAAATGACTCATGAAGTTCCTAAAATCTCCACAAAACCCCTTCAGATTGTTATAAATAAATAATATATTTGTAATATTCATGTTGTTCCGTTTTACTATTAAAACTTGGATTAATTTTGAATTGGTTATTTGAGATGATGGAGAACATTTGTAGCTCAGGTGGATGAAGTTTGTATTGACGATAATGTCGTTCAGAAGAATGATGAAAGCTCCATGACCAAACAGTCTAGTTCAGAGAAAAAAATTCCATCAAGATTTGGTTATTTATTCTCTGAAGAAGTGACTTACACTGAGTCACGAAACGTCAGAACATTTAATTTTTCTACTCAATGGGATATTACAAAATATATTATCTATTTGTAAGTGAATTATGTTTTACCAGAAATAATAATCTATTTCCTAATGATTAACTGTCTATTTTTAAGGATAAAAATGGATTAATTTTAATGTTTGTCTGTTGGCTGGTCAATAGCACTTATTAATTTTGTTATAAATGAAATTAAAGAGATCGGTTTTGCTTCATAATATTTTACGATCCTGACACGATTGATCACCCAGTGGATTGTTTCACCCAATTATTCGAAATCATCTACCTTACAGTTATAAAAACAATTCATTGATACAAATTATTCATCTGAAGAGTCAAACTCTAAAATCTTCCTTAAGACAGTTAAGTTTTGAGCAACATGAATAGTAGTTCAGAGGTGGATAGGTATCCCAACTACCAAGTTATTTTATATTCATCGATAAATTCAACTTATTAAAAAATTTTACTCAACATTAGAAAGTTGGATAGTAACAAATAGTTGGAACGGAAATGTCAACAAATATTTAGTGATCTCTTATGCCAATATGAATTCTTGTATTAAACATCTGGTTTTTACCAATTTTGTTTGTAAATAAACTTGCAGTTATACGTCAAATATATTTGTAAACCTTGATGTATGATGAAATCTTTAAATATTTAAAATAGAATCCTCAGGAGTTGTATCTATTCAGGAAACTCTTCAGATACATCATGAATGAAACTAGTAAAAATAAACTTCTTATTAGTTACTTGAGTTATTAAAAAAATTATAGTCTGATTCTAAAGCTGAGTAACTGTTTACATAAAATTCCCCTTTGAAATAAATTTCTAATCACTTTCTTCCAAAGTATAAGGTAAATTAGGATATTAAGTAACTTTGGTTAAGTATATATATGGTCTCTAAGATTAATTTCATAGATCTGCTGTGCGGAATAAGCGAGATTGTTTATGCCATCACGTTTTACAATAGAGTTGTTGATCTCATGTTGACAAATTAGGTTGAAAGAACGTTCCAATCCATAACATCGAGACTTCTAACTAAGGACTTCACCGAAGCGATTACAACATGAATGCAAACCTGTTTATCATAAAATCATTACAAATAATCTTAATTCAAAACTTTATGAAAATTTCCTAAACAACAATGACTGAAAAATATAATCATCTAACTCCTTGGAGCAAATATGTAGAATTTATTCTACTGCCTTAATGCTGGTATGTTAATTTGTTCTCAAGGTTACGGTCGTTAATATCGATAACCGGTTCAAAAATAACCAATGATACAGCATTCAATATCTTTTAACTGATGATTTTCACACAGTCCCAATGAGCTTTGGTTAACATCTTAATTGAAAATAACTAACAATATTGATACTAAACTCTGATTATATAATCAGGATAATCTTAATACAAAGCGCTTTAAAACCTAATTCTCTTATTTTTACATATATTTAACGTGTGCTTAATCACACATAAATACTAATAGTTCAGTTATACGATCAGAAGTAAGATGATGTAAGAAATAAAATATTGACTAATTCAGCTGTTTAGCAATGTGTAATTCATAATCATTCATTCATCCGAAGTAAAAGACACACGTTGAAATCGGCTTTCGACCGTCTGAATTGTGCACTGGGTCCCGCACCAGTTAAATTCATCGCATTTACACACGTGTTTGGCAGGTAGTTGATAGTCATATGGGCGACTATCATGAAAAGATAGGCGGTTTACTGAAGCTGATAAGCACCTTGAATTCAAACAGGTGTTCTTGCTATTAAATCGTGTAAAATGTAGTTTAAGCCTGATCATCTCAGATAACTGTCTATGTGAAGAAATATAAAGTAGTAACGTATTTTCTGGAAAAATAGCTGCATCATTCACGCACTAATAAAACCTAGAATCTAGGGTGAAGACAAGTAGCTTAAGCTCCTGTCGTCGTTGAAAGGAACAGTACATAAAATAATAACTGAATATTATTTATAGCAACTATCCCTCAGCCAATTTCGATTATGGTTACGCTTTTTTAGGCTCTTTTATTAACTTAACAGACAATCTTATTCGAACAGTAACAACTCACATATTTCTTTGTACTATTATGAACACTACCATATCTGTATAAATATGCACTCATGATCACATGACAACCTACGCACATACCTCTCTCTAGCTTAAATGTTAGTGTCTTAATTATCGCTCGATCAGTCATTCCCTTCCATATGTATATATGTACTTGGATCCTATTATTAGCCTTTGCCTTGCTTAGCTGAGTCTTATTCCATTTGACTATAAATTCGCCTCTATGTTTGCTCGCATACACACATATTCACCTCTTTGATTCGTATTCGCTCGATATGCTTATAGCCTTAAGATCTGTGCTCTCTGTTAATTAACTGTAGTTGCCGCTTCTTATTGTCTAATGATTTCAAACACCGTTGAGATTTATATGATAGTATTAGCTTAAACTCACACTCGTATAAATTACGAACTATAAAACCCATAAATATGCATGCATTCGAGTTGCTTGATGTTATTTGTTCCGAACAATTTAGGTCTTTCGAGTATCTTAAACCACGGTGTAATGTATTCTCACATCCGGATTTTGACATACCAATGGAGTTCCAGGTTGCTGCATCTGATACTAAACCAGCTACATTTGTTAAAAGTAAACAGAATTTGGTGCATTTTACACCATAATGTTACCTTATTTAATACTTATTGTACAAAAGTGGTTCTATTGCATGCCTCATCGCTGGGACGTGAATAGACTACCTTCAAGTCATCAGCGTACAAGAAGTTATTACCTAGGTTACAGCGGCTTTAAATGCTGTCGATGTAAAATACCCTAACACAATCCTTTGCATGACTATGTAGTGACTCACATTTATCACGAGAACACGACTGATTTAATAAAAACAATTATTATTATAACCAACTGTACCAGTGTTTGTTTTAATGTGCTTTTGTTTGACTGTGCTAATGACAGCTATTTTGTGCTTCCATTCTTTTACTTACACTTTGATTGCAACTTCGCGCGAATTCGGTTACCTTCTGTAACCAAGGTTGTATCCTGGCACGATCTCGGTATCCTTTCGATGCCACGAGATCGCCAGCAAATAAACATCGACTTGGTCCATTAACTGCCTTCTGGTATTCGGCTTCTCGGGGATTTTATGGAGTCATTTGGAACGAGATTCTTACGCCTTCCGATTTATCTGGCACGTGTTTCTCTGTAGCGGTGTTCACAGTTAATCTCAACTCGACGCCACGCTACAATTGGTAATCCCGATTCGACCACAATTGGTGACCCGTATTTTGGAACACGCCTCAACTTCTGATCAAATCTTCCAAAGAAGCCAATTCGGTGAGTCTATGATTTATCTATCCACGTCTGTCGTATGTTTTCATATTTTTAATATATAATATACGCGACATGACGTATAACGATAAGAATAGTATTAATATAATAGACTCACACGTATGTGTACCGAATCCTTGTCACTTTTTATTCGCGTGATGATGAATTCCACGCTTCATTCGAGAAATGTTACCCCTATTAACGATTCTCCTCGCTGACCCGGCTGCTTGGTACGGAATCCATACGCATAAGCATATCCGTCTACCACCCAGCACCAAATGGTTAAGTTGAACGGTTTCGTTGCCAACTTAAAAGTGTTCTACGAGCACACGAAAACGGCAACTGGCACGAAACCTTACCGCTCGTTCTTTTAAAGGTGAGAACGAGCTTAAAGGCAGATATCCAATGTTCCGCCACTGAACTTGTATACGGCACGACATTGCGTCTGCCCGGAGAACTCTTCACACCACGGAGCAGACCTAATTTCGGTAAATCAGACTACGTCCATCGACTGTCTGCATTTATGCGAACGCTGTCTCCGGTGTCAACTCGAATACAACATCGACAGGTCGCTCTCTCGAGAGTTATCTACCTGTTCACATGTTTTTGTACGAGTAGATTCGGTACGCAAACCTTGGCAACAACCTTACGAAGGCCCTTTTCACGTGATCACTCGTCACGAAAAGACCTTCAAGGTTGATCGATATGTACGCGTCGAGATCGTCAGCATTGATCGTCTCAAACCTGCACACGTCGATGACAGTGCCCTATCTGACACCCTGAGATTCAATGCTAGACCTATCAAACCTAGCGGGATCCTTAAATCTTCTTCAGGTCCCACGCTAGATGCATGTGAGACCTCATTCTCACGTCCCGGTCAACAGCACGCGTCATCTGCACCGTCTACGGACGAGACGACAGTCTCACGTCCAGATCAGCAGACCACGCCGCCTCTGACCTCGGATGAGATTGCAGGCACACGAAATACGAACGAGACTGCCGTCTCACGTTCCGGTCGCCGAGTACGGTTACCCGTACGCTTCCGCGACTAGCCGCACAGTCAACAACCGATACGGTGTAGGGTTATTCCCATACTACACGCATGCTACACTCCTTTTTTTTTGATTTTCTTTTTGTTTCCTGAGCCCACGCCTTCGACCATCTCCGTTTGGTTCCGTCGACTTCAGTCAACTTTGGCGAAAGCTGGATTGGCCACCCACGCTCTTGTCAACGTACTCAGTCGATATATTGGTTTCGAATCCTTGGCATACGCTTGGTCTCGAACTTGGTCGTTACGGTCGCTTCTGGTCTTTTGGCTCAACGTGGTTTCGTCCTACGTCTGCAGCGTTTCTGGTGCGCACCTCTACGAACGCCCTCTTAAGATTCTGGATACAAACCACTCTGGTGTAGCATGCCAACTCGAGCAATAAATACAACACATCACTCCTGGTACTGTTCTCCGAAAACAACCTTCGTTGGCAACTCGACGATCAACGATCGCTTTCCTGTTCGCCAATTCTTCCGTCCTACAATCGCTCGTCAGCCGATCAGTCCCACGATTCAAACCGCTATTTATCGAAAGTGTAAACCCTTTCTAGAGGGGGGCTCCTGTAGTGACTCACGTTTATCACGAGAACACGACTGATTTAATAAAAACAATTATTATTATAACCAACTGTACCAGTGTTTGTTTTAATGTGCTTTTGTTTGACTGTGCTAATGACAGCTATTTTGTGCTTCCATTCTTTTACTTACACTTTGATTGCAACTTCGCGCGAATTCGGTTACCTTCTGTAACCAAGGTTGTATCCTGGCACGATCTCGGTATCCTTTCGATGCCACGAGATCGCCAGCAAATAAACATCGACTTGGTCCATTAACTGCCTTCTGGTATTCGGCTTCTCGGGGATTTTATGGAGTCATTTGGAACGAGATTCTTACGCCTTCCGATTTATCTGGCACGTGTTTCTCTGTAGCGGTGTTCACAGTTAATCTCAACTCGACGCCACGCTACAATTGGTAATCTCAATCAGACTACAACTATACTAGTTACGCTCTTAGGTATTGATGACCTTGATATAACGTTGATAATTTGATACAGATAACCAAGGAATGATTTGGATCAACTGATTGAGGGGAGATGGGTTTCAATACAATCACCAACCGAATGACTGCTATTAATTCAATCCATTGTTCCCGCCTTCTTCACCGTCGGGTTTTACTCCACGTTGAATGCTTAATATCTATCTCCCCAACTGTCCCATGTTGAGATTTAAGGATTGTGTATTTAAAACCTAATGTCACCACAGAGTTATGCACGACCTACTAGTTACAAAACCACGTTGCGATTTAGAAATAAGCTTTTGAGTTGGTAAGTAATATGAGGCACTGTTTTTAACGGCTGTTATTCGTAAAAAAATGAACTGATATTTATGGGTCTGTAGTTAGCTGAATTTGCTCTGTCCTCAGTCTTGTAGTGCACTTGATCTCACGGTTATTCGGGTATACGTCTGCATCTAATGATATACTGAATATCGTAAGAAGTATGAGCGGCCTGTCATCCTCACATCTCCTAAGGAATATAAAGGGAAAACCGTTAGTTTCTACACCTTTTGTAGTCTTATGACGTTTTATAGCTTCAGATACATTTTAGCAGTTAGATATATATTCATGCAGGTACTGAAAATAAGTGTTAAATTGTTGAGGTCAGCGGGTTGCTTTTAATTAAAGTTTGCAAAAGCACTGCTAAATATTCCACATCTGTGGGGATAATTACCTGTTTCCTAATTGATTTTAGTGAAATTGAAGTCAATAACAACCAATTTGAAACCAACATTTGATATTGAAACATGTACGAAAATTTTGGAAAATGTTATATCTGTTTCAAGTTTTAGGTTCAGTGTCCTATATACAGATCGTGCAAGTATCTTATAAGTAATGCTGCATAATATCAGTTATCACGAGTCTGGTATTGTACTTAGTATACTGTGTTCCAATTCTATCGCATTGGTAGGGTTATTTACATAGACAATACATCCCATACCTCTATTGTGACTCCGGTTGGAATGTTGCAGTAAGTTATCATCTACACTCAGTTCTGAATGTAGTATTTTAGACGGGCAACACTTTTCTTTTACTAGCAAGATTTCCGTATTTGTAAACAAGGCAGTCATCCCACTTTTCGACCATTTATTGCCAACCAAACGCGCGTTAACATGTGTAACAGTTAACAGAACATGGTTACTTGGAAAGTAGTTCATTATTCTGTTCATACCTATCTGACTACACTTGTTTTGTTTGACTAATACAAGTAGCAATTCATCCAGGTTAATAAAACAGCTAGATGAGTACTTGCCTGTTTCCTGTGATGGTAAAAGTATAGAACAATGCAATAAGTAGATGGATTCAATGTCTACTGTCAGAAGCCACAAACTGTTCATATAGTAGTTATACATAGCGTTCGATCATCCAGTTGCATCTCGCAATGTTTCTGCAATTCAAACTATCCACTCGTCCAGTCTTTAAGGATTCTGAATACTCCATGCTGTTAATGTACCAGAACAGTTACCTCTGCCTGGTGATTCTGACACCTTTGAGATCATGTTCCGCCATATACTACATAAAGCAATCCTGTGACTGCTATTAACCGCAATAGGATTGGGTCGTCGTTCATTTTGTCAGTGTCAAAAACGCCGTTTTGGTTCCTTAAATTACTTGCCGAATTTGGTGATGTGATGTGGTGATTCTGCCTTAGATTCTTTAGATAAGCGCAAATAGTGTCCCTACTCGACCAAATTTTATTGATGTTAGATGTTATATGACGGGTGTCGTGCCGTTTTGTCATTATTTAAACGACGTGTTGGACCATTTCGTGTAAACTGGTGCAGATGTACTTACTTATAGAGGAGTTCCTCTATGTCATCTAGAGCAAACGAGACCTCCAGATTTTATAAAGGTTGTTCATGCTTTGGTGTTTCTTCCAGTAGACTTCTTACAACAGACGTGGCCAATAACTATTATTACTTTATTACCAAATGTATTTGACTAAGAAATTACAGATTTTTTTCTCAGGATATTGTAGGGTCAGTGAAATGTCACTGAGCCCTAGCCAAATCATCCGGCAGTTGGATCACTGAATGTCGAACAGATCATCGCTCCCTGCCAAGGTCATGTACAAGCAACGCGCATTAGTTAATCATACGCCATGGACTGGCCCATGCGGCAGTGGTCTTACTTTCGCCTGTATCTACCTTAACTAATATATTTCTGTAACAACGTCCTTTGTGTTGTACAGTCTTCAAAGCATCTATAGTACCTTGTTACGTCAATGGGAGTAGTCCACGTAAGGTGCTGACCACGAGGTGTGACTTCGACGTTAGTTGGTTCGTCACACTATTCACGTCTAACTCGAGTCGGCCTCCAATCGTTTCGACATAGATCATCTACGTTGGTGACTTACACTGGTGAGCAAGACTTCGAATAACGCAACCTATCTTTATAATCTTTATTATTGTATTCCATACTTATTCTTTTTCATTTTTATCATCGCCTATGTTAATCTGTTACTGTGAACTTTCGTTGCTTCATGTCAATGCTGATTAGCATTTAAACCTAGATAATTCGTTCAATCGACAGAACTAACCAATCAACTACGATTATAATCGGCTATCGTGGTTCTTTAACAAGCATTAGCAGCATGTAAATGCTCCTGTGTAATATGTCTGTTAAAATATCAACCACTCGTGAGTATAGCCACAAGGCAACACGAACGCATATCTCTTTGTACCTTATCCACTGGTATAAATAAGACAAGATTAACTATCGACTATAAATTCATCTTTCTGCTTAACCACTATCCACTAGAATGTTCTGCTTTTTTTACCACTGCCTGCCTAATTTCCAATTGCTGAGTTCGATGGCCAAACAGAAGATACGAATGCTAGAAATTCACGACTGTTCGTCAGTCTACAACGCTGTGTTAATCGAAAAATTTAATCAACAGTATCTCGTACATAATCCAGATTCAAACTACTGCCTACTTCATTACTTAAAGGCAAGAGTAACCTAGGCGAGTTTCATAATTTCATTAGATTATTTCTTACTATATTTATGATGCGTGATAACATTTCGTAGTTGCTTTTACGTAAACTAGTCATATATTCTGTCACTGCCGTCAAGTTTTAGTCGAAATCATGTACATTTATGACTCGTTAGTCGACATACCGTGGTAAAACATATTGGATGTACACGAGCACGCTTGGTCCATGTCCCAAGTACACATGTCGTACTTAATATGTCATTTAATGCTAGGTAATAAGCTCTTTGTATCATCCTTTTACGAAATGGCCACGTTACCTGGACCCTCTGAACCTTAGTTACATTGGTGTTTACCATTTTAATTAATGTTTATTATACCCCTTGTATTTACTAATAATTCATACGTAAATCACGGTTTGATTTCCTTATTACACAACAGTCATTTTAATTCTATTTTCGGTTTATTTACATGCGATACGGGTTTGGAAAATATCTAAACGTCCTCGAAAATTCTCCACAAACCCAACCATAGTTTTCGTATATGTTTTTATTCACACATCCAACTGTTACACTAATCATACCTAAGCGAACGTTCAGTGCAACTGTCAGTATACGTAAGAACGATGTTATTTAAACTTGACATTGTAACACATCTGAACTATTGTAGTTGTTCTACTTCGATGTCGTACTTCATTTTATGAAGTATTGTTTCCTCGTGGCTGTTGTTTAACAGATGATTCCGGTGCATCAATCGGCTGTTCAACTACTCGACGATTTACAACCTGTCCAGTTCAATTGGTGGTCTGACGACAATATCATTCGCGCGAATCATCAGTTTATGCAGTCGAGCGAATCTCCTGCAAACTGAAAACGATATTGTCCCTTGTATCCCAACACTGACAGCGTTTTTCACGGGTATCATTGACATGAGTCCAGAGTGACACTCTTGGTTTCTTATGTTCTTTTCGATATTTTTCTGTTCACTAACCGAACAAACACGCAGCATTCACCGTTTATCATCTTTTAGAGACTTCATCGTGCCACCTTTGTTGTGGATTTGTAGCCTTCAACCCTTGCTGACTGTAACAGCAGTCATCGACTTTTCAAACTCTGACTACAAGTTGGTCAATAGCTTCGCACAACGAAATCACGAACACTCTTCACTGTTATACTTCTGTACTTACGGTTAGTCTGTCAGATATAGATATAACTAGAATTCGACACTAATTAATAGCTGTCAACGACACTGTTCGACTTACAACTTTAAACTAATAACAGTACAAATATGGATATCGATTGATAGTACACTTATCCTACTATCGCTATAGCATCATTACTCTTGCGGCAGACTTAACGTTTGTCATCGGAGGAACTGAACTACTTGTCAACGCTATATATTTCAGCGCGACTTGATAGAACAATAAAACGTTTTGTTCTTTTCATTATTTCTATGGTTAATCGCTTTACGTTTAACGAACGTCCTACTAACATATTATGACTCGCTGTTTCCCGACCAGTTTCTGCCGCCTCCTTTCCATTTCTTTTAGAGATAAGCAATACCTGGAGGATTTATAATATTCGTTTGGCACTCTTTGGCGCGCGACTGCTCCCAACATGTTTGGTACCGATTCAAACGGCCGTTGAATCTGGTGGGGGAGTATTGTAGGGTCAGTGAAATGTCACTGAGCCCTAGCCAAATCATCCGGCAGTTGGATCACTGAATGTCGAACAGATCATCGCTCCCTCCCAAGGTCATGTACAAGCAACGCGCATTAGTTAATCATACGCCATGGACTGGCCCATGCGGCAGTGGTCTTACTTTCGCCTGTATCTACCTTAACTAATATATTTCTGTAACAACGTCCTTTGTGTTGTACAGTCTTCAAAGCATCTATAGTACCTTGTTACGTCAATGGGAGTAGTCCACGTAAGGTGCTGACCACGAGGTGTGACTTCGACGTTAGTTGGTTCGTCACACTATTCACGTCTAACTCAAGTCGGCCTCCAATCGTTTCGACATAGATCATCTACGTTGGTGACCTACAATATACTGATTGATTGCTTCTGAGCCCTATACTTGAACTCCTGATATTTTTGGAACATGTAATTGAATTTCTTCAGCTCGTGGCACACAAAATATTGCACTTGTTTCGGTAAAAAAACGTTGGCATGAGGTTAACAACTAGAATAATGGGATTACACTTGATGATAACCTGACTATGATTCGAAACTGAGCAGATGTTAGCAGCCTTATCTTCAACCATTCAAGCTTTGAAGCTGAACCTTTACGACAAAGCTTGGACTATGATGCATTTTTAGTTTTTTTTTAAGACAAAAGATTCTCAACTATCTGACCGATTTGAACCACTTGAACCACAATTCGACCTCGAGTCAAGGATTCTATTTGAACCATTTCATAAGTAGGACCAATTCTCGCGATAAAAGAAGTAGTTCACTATTTTCCCTGAGTTCAGTATTCTGTTACTAAAATTATTTTGCTTTATGTCGTTTTTTTCTAGCCACACCTTAACAACGGCTTTACAATCGCTTTTTAGTGCTACCAAGCACATGGAGTGATAAAAAGTTAGCCATTTTCCTAGATAGATAAAGTACTTGAGAAAACTAGACGTTAAGCAGAACCTCATTCTCGCTACCTAACAGTCATTTCTCCGAGTGTGCCATACAAATACTAACTCTAGTGAGATATTAAGCCTCCTTCAATACGTTTTTAATATTTACTTAGGGAGACACTCTATTATCAGGCGAGTACCTCCCGAAATCCTCTTAGGCGACTTGGTCACAAGTAGCAAAACTTCAGACGTCTTCGGTGGCTTTTCAAAAATCGTCACATCTATCCACGTCAGAAGACTGTATAAAAGCCATTTCAGTTTCAGTTTCAGTTTGGGAAGGACAGGAGGCTCGATGGCCTATGTTAGTCCTGGCAATGGTGGTCTCTCAGTTGGTCCAACTTTCTTCTGAAAGAGTCGATGGATGGAGCCTCAACCACGTGCTGAGGTAGTGAATTCCACTCGTTGATTATTCGATGGGAAAGTCGATAATCAGCTGACAAGTAATTTGTTCTCGGCTTATGAACTTTTTTGGAGTGTCCTCGTAAATTCTCTGTTTTGGAAGACAAGAAAAATGAGGGCATATTAGGTGTAAATATATCACTAAGCAATTTGTAGACTGTAATCAAGTCGCCTCTAGTTCTGCGATATGACAACGGGCAAAGGTTCAGCTTGGATTAAGATTATCGTTATCACGTTTACCCCATAATCAAATGGGCCCACACTTAGTTTTTCTTGCTTTTCTCTTCCGTTTTCGCGGCCAGCCCTTGTAAGTTTTGGGGATATGTCTTAGCTAAACAATAACTGAAATTGAACATTTGTATGTCAGAAGTGTTGGATTTCCTTAAACTAACTTTGAAATGAGTGGTTTATTTTGATGGCCGATGCTGTTTTTGGACATAGATTCTTTCGTTTATTTATCAAAATATGCCGATATGTGTTTTGATATCTCTTGCTATTTGACTACCACTATCAAACCTTACTGAGTGAACTCAGTTATGTCAGAAAACAGGGAACTAAACAACTTTGGATTCATATGGCAATTTCATTTCGATGTGTAAAATTTTTACTCTCCCGATCACTCCAGATATTTCAGTAACCTGCTTTTTAGCGACATACAAAGCTTCAAAAGTCAACTATTCAACATATTGTTCCCAAATCGTATTAGGTTTATTATTTAAAACAATTGCATGGCGTACTTATCAAGCCGTCGATAAAATCATAGCCAGCAGATGGCAAAACTGTTCATTACATTTGAGTTCCGTGATTACTTAAAAACTGAGTACTTATAATGTTTGAAAGTATTTGAATTATCGTGTGAACTAGGAATCCCAGAATTAACGCAACTGAATCAAGAATTACGACATAAGCCCGAACGAATGTATTGTATTTAGAATTCGAAATCGATCATTCAACAAGTACAAAGAAATCATTAGTTAATTCAAACACCACAGTAATATTGTCTTGTTTCACTAGCATCCATATTAGTTCAGTTACTCGGCTCATTTGAGTTAAATATGTAGAAGCCCAAATAAAGTACTGCAGTGAAATTCTAAGGAGTACTGAAATAGTTTACACCAATAAGTCGTCATCCATAATGCTTTTATTAAGTCCGTAATATCAGACTTTATGCTATACAGTTTACACCGATAATGTTGTTTACCGAATTCCAGAATTAATCATCACCGGTTTTTGGTTAATTTTGGCCACAGTGCTCTAACAATGGATGTCAGAAAGTGAAAGTGAGAATGTATGTTGCATCAGGTTTTGAGTATTCATAAAGAGTGATAAGTTTTTGTTCTGACACTCGTTGCTCTTGACTTCAGTCACATTTGGAGATACATTTACGTACTATAATCAACTACAACTTTTATGAGAGCCGTTTTTCTTTTAGACGAACAACATTTTTTAGTTGGTGTCTTTAAAATGACACCTATGTGGTTAAATTCTAACAAAGTTGATTTACTTTTCAAGCTTTTGACTTATCACTCTGTTAATCTCAGTTTTGATAGCAGTGTTAGTGATATTTTCACCACATTATTTCAATTGGAAGTGTACTTTAAACCTTTTAGATACACCAATGACATCTGTGATAATACAAAAACTCAAAAAAGCTCAGCAACAAGGAAAACAAGATAATCGGACTATACAGAGGTCGGTCGGACGAAATATCAGTGAATTGGAAAGAGAAGAAAAATATTTAGAAAATTTAATAAGAAGCGCTGCCAGGCAAAACGACAGAGGAGCTTGTGCTATGTTAGCACAAGAGTTAACTAAGATTCGTGCTTTAAAGTCTAGAAACTCTCGTTTTGCAGACCACATGAACATTGTGCAGAAAAAACAAACAACTTCGCTGTACGCAGCCAAATATGGAGAATCACTTGAAGCGGCTGCAACCACCATGAAGAATTTCAACAAGGTATAAATTATTCGAGTTACGTTACTGTAGTAACTTGTAAATTTGATAAGTTAACTGTTTGTCATGATAGCCCGAAAGTTTACATCATAGTATAAAGGAGTAGTTGGAATTAAAATAAAGGAAGATAGTAGCTAGTAGCTCCTGACTTAGTCAGAGAGCATCATCAACATTAGAAGTGTAATAAAGATATCACACATAAAACTGTTTGCCAATTTTGTCGAGCAGTGAGAAAATAAGTACATTAAATTTTTATTAATGAGCAACTTTTATGATACACGGACTGAATAAACGGCACCTTATCCTGGTCATATACTCCAGTCTTAACATTTTGATTCATTTTATGCCTTTGTCTGGTAGTTGACTGTCTTCCGAAGACCAAATCTAGTATCAGTCAGTCGCGTGGTAGATCTGTAAAGATAGTTTTTTGCTGTTCAGCTCCAAATTTTTACAAACAGTAAGCCAGGCATTATAAATCTTCAGTTTATACGAGAATTAGTGGCATTAAATTAGTTAAATAACATGATTCGTTGCATATCTCCACTTTTTAATAAAGTTCTTGTTGCTTTTTAACATTAACCATAACTAAGTTTCCGCGAATCAAGTAGGAGATTAACTCTGGAGTTTCCAAATCCACAACATGAGAAAAATGTACAAATTGAGCCATATTTAAGGTAGTTGCACATTACACAACAATATATATATATATATATATATATATATATATGGAAAATAGTTGTCAGTATGATTGTACAACTCTGATAAATGGTATCGTAGAGAAAGACTTTTTTTCTGAAACGTTTTTATTTGTTTTACTGGCTTGATAAGTTTTATTTGTTATTCGTCCTTAGTTTTTTATCATGCGTTTGGATGTGAAGTACAGCCTTTAAAACATAATTCATTAACCAAATTTATCTTTTCACTCACACCGGAAAAGTTTCAACCATTAAGGTTGCATTTTGAAGCGGGGAACTATATATGATATTTAAATGGAAGCATTTTTAGACGTTATTAAACCATTTCAAGTCTAACTGTGAACGCCCATTCAAATGGAAAAATGTTGAGATCTTGGATAGAGGCAATTCTAAAAACACGAGAGAATTTTTGGAAGCTTGATACCCATGTCAATCAGCAATCCACAGACACATTGAAATTGATCCAATTCATCAACCAATCAAAAAAAATTATGAACAAATATAGGACCAATAATTAAGTCCGTAGGAGGTACAATCAAAATAAAGAAGAGAACAGTAACAGGTTAAAGGTCAACAATGAAGAATTAATATAAAGGTCGACAGGACACGCTGTGAGCTATATGTGGAAAAATTCGGACACTTTACTTCTGCTTAAAGCTTGCGCTGATGACGCTGTTCAGAATAATGACGAAAGTTCCACAACCAAGCCGTTCAGCTCAGAGAACAAAACTCCATCAGAATCATTCATCTGAGCTACAAATCTTTTCTACCAGTTTCTACCTTGTTTCTGATTAAACGACTGTGAATTATTATTGACTTTAGGTGTACCAACGCTTAAGTTCTTGATGCTATTTATAAAATAGCATTAATATGTACAAGGACTTACGTGAAACAAGGCTGCTTTATCTCATTATTTGATGTTCCTACTGATAGAGAACTGTAACAGACAAAACACCATAGTGCAGCCACAAATTCCTTCCATAAATATCATGATTACCATCAATTGAGTAAATGGAGACGGTTATCTGGAATGTGTAACTAAAAGATATTTAAGTTTAATTAACCTAACGTTTACTTAATTTTAGGTTATGGACAAAACGAAGGTCCCTGATCAAGTAAAACAGTTCGATAGGGAAGAATTAAAAATGGATATGTCTGAAGATACCTTAGACATCATGCTATCTTCACTATGCGAATCTGAAGAGGAGGACGTTGATGAGTACATAACAAAAATTTTAAATGAACCACAAAGTCACGTGCCTGATGTGTGGCCCTCTGTTCCTGATACAACTTTAGAAAAGTCCAGTTCCATCTCCAGAAAATTTCGTGATAATATAGTTTAATAACATTTGTGCAAGTATACACACTTTTCGGTCCCTCTAAGCAAAAGCGTTCCAGAAATGCGTCTACAACTGTGTACTCCTTTGAAACGAACTTCAGAAAACTCTTGCCTTCCTTACAATTAAAGTTTTGACTTTATGATTCAAAAATAATAAACGAAATTTCAATATAAATTTTTAAATTCCATTATATATTACTGATAGAATTTAGTCAAAAGCTCCTGGTATATAGTGTTCTATTTCTAAAGCCCAATCACGTTTTACCGATCATTTTATGCCTTTTAAATGATTACATCTTCGATCAAACTTTGAATAAGCGATTTTCATCATGAGGTAAGTTTTTCACAGACTGCAAGTAAGAATTTCAAGCATTACATACTTTATAGAATGTAAACGTGCTTTATGTACTCAGGAAGTCGCCGGAAAATTATAAAAAGGGATCTTAATGTTAACAAATGTAAGCTTGTTAGTGTTATTGATCGGCTTCAAGATGATACTTAGTTATCAATCATGAGAATCAATTAGGCTTTGTTTGTTGAAACGAAAGACTCTTATCGACATCTACTATATCCAAGTAATTTGCAGCAACTCGTCTGAAATCCCAACCGGATATGTTTAAATTACATCTAGTTGTTACAAATCATTTTCAGCACTTTATATGCTGATAACCTCTGGGTGGCATCCATCTCCTAACCCAGCCAGACTTTACACAATGAATACAAATATTAATTTAAAAGTAGATACATTTCACATTCATGATAACTTGACTCATTTTCCTCACAAAAAACATACTTTCTTAAATACAGAATATGAAAACTATGCAGTAAATGAAGTTGTAAGGCACTAGTTATGTTCATCAGGAATTACTATTGATATAACTTTGAATGTATTGATCCGTTAATAGCAATATGTTCTCGAGAAGTTTTCAGATGATGATTAAAATCATCTCTATGGTCTGTAGTGACTAATAAATTTTATTATTTTATGGGCTCACTCCTAATATTGTGAACGTTTCTTCATATCGTACTATGAATAATTTCACTGACTACATAATTAATCCTAACGTTATACATAACTTTAATTTTGTAATTTGGGTTCACACCCTTGGATTGAATGTTACCTCCAACAATATGATCAGCAAGTAATTCAGTTAAATAACTAGCTATAGATCCCTTTCATTACCATTTTACGACAAGTCAGAAGGGTTTTCATCAACAGACTATTTAATAAACAAATGTGAAAATACAAAACTAATATTACTAGACGACTAAATATGTTTTAACAAACTGACGTATCATCTATATGCGGGATTTTTATGATTAATTTATGTTACTATAACCGTAAAATGGCACAAATATTCACGATTAGACTGCAATGAGTTTGAAGAGAAAACTTATTTAAAACCAACAAACATTTGTTGCTCGCAATGATGATGATGATGATGAGTTTCATTATTTACCAATAAATTGTAGTCTTTACTTACATACTTAGATATTTACTTAAAATGGAAATAATAGGAACAATCCTCACTGATAATTAGCTAAGCTGAGGTGTTTGAAAAAGTATGATTTCCTTAAACTTTCAGGGCAGTCAATTAAAATTAACATAGAACCTGAAACATTTGTAAATCAATACGATGTATCACATCAGGTCATAGACATACATAGATTACGAATGCCAGTTAACGGAAAAACTAGATACAGAGTCTATTCAAGCAGTTAAAGCTGACGTAGATAAGGAAATAAATCGCAGATAATGTTAACAGAGAATAAAATAAAACAAAGAAATCATGTTGGAATCAGATTCGGTAATATCGCAAATGCATTTAATGACTAAACGGATAAGATAAACAGATTTATTGCTTTCCAACTTAGACAATTTCTAAATGATTAGCTGGTGCATGATGATAAGCATTGCCAACCTTTTAACAGAATATTAATCGTTTATGCTGAATACCGATCATAATATATTTCAATTTATCTGGTTTACATGTAATTCAGCTAAAACTCGAATTTAATACCATAATAGATAGTATAAGTGTTAATGTTTATTTACGAAAAATAACATAACTACATCAAACCACTTTCAAAATCCTTATAGGTCGTTTGACAAAATAGCATTCATCAGTCAAATAAATGACTGCCATTCATTCTAAAACACTGAAAATTGAAGTAGTCGAAGATTAAAATTTCAGAAAGACGATCTTGTGAAATAAATTTGAAAAGTAATGACTAATTTACAGAAGTTTACTAAGAATCTTCGATTTGATTGAAATTAATAAAGGAGCAGAGTATGTACATAAATACTGAGCTGGGTAAATTCGAAGTTTAATATTTCCAGGATAATGAATCACGAAGAGTAGAAGTCTCGTTCTCTGACGAGAATAGCTTCGTCATGAAGTTTTATTGTTCGTCTGAATAACATCAACACAAACTCCCGATGATTTTGTTCAAGGGAACAATGAAAGCTTTATGACCTAACCATCCAGCTCGGAGAACAAAACTTTACTATAAACATTAACCTGAGCTACAAATCTTGTCCACTATCTCGAGGAGTTAGTTTATAATGTCAGCTCAAATCATAACATAAGTGAATTATATGTAGGTGATCATGTAGAAATAACTTTCAACTTGGACACTATTACGTTTTTTAAAAACCTTTTTATTTTTGCTCTTTAAATTCTTTCAAACTTTAGTTTTGTTAACGTTCTAATTTTTGATCCTAATTCGATGTAACTAGTTTAATAACAACTCCGCCTGTAGCTCTTCCAAAGTTACTGTCGGCTTAAAGACCGGATAAAGGAGGAGGATGGGGCATAGGGTTGGCGACTCCATCCCGTAAAAAACTAACTCGCTAGAAAACGCTTACCAGAAAAAATAATTCAAACCATTTAAACTCTGCCCTGGGAGTAAGGAGGTCTTCATTTAGAAGAAATATGACGCTTCTTGGTGAAAGCCGAGGTCCTTCGGGAGCCACGAGGCCGATGCCCCTTCTAACAACCAGAACAAAAGTTTTTATAGGTACATGGAACGTTCGAACAATGTGGGAGACCGGGAAGACCAGTCAAATAGCAACGGAAATAAGGAGATACAACTTGGCAGTACTGGGAATCAGCTATAGCCATTGAAACCAAGCTGGACAACAAAGGCTAAATACGGGAGAGATGCTGCTATACTCCGGTCACAAAGAGGAAAATGCTCCACACACTCAGGGAGTCGCTCTAATGCTGTCCAAAGAAGCACGAAATGCACTAGTAGGATGGGAATCCCACGGATCCAGAATCATCAAAGCATCATTCAAAACAAAGAAGGAGGGGATCATAAGGAATATCATCCAATGTTATGCACCCACCAATGATACCAACGACGACATTAAAGATCAATTCTACGAGCGGCTGCAATCAATCATAGAGAAGTGCCCAAGAAACGACCTCACCATTCTGATGGGAGATCGAAACGCCAAAGTCGGAATAGACAACACCGGATATGAAGATATTATGGGACGACATGGACTGACTGCGAGAGAGAAACGAAAATGGAGAAAGATTCGCAATTCTGTGTGCATTCAACAAATTGGTCATATGAGGCACAATATTCCCACACAAAGCTACATGGATCTCACCGGACCACACTACAGAGAACCAGATAGATCATATCTGCATCAATAAAAAATTCCGAAGGACAATGAAAGATGTGAGAACCAAGAGAGGAGCTGACATATCTTCAGATCACCATCCTGTTGCGGCCAATTTAAAACTGAAGCTACAGAAGCAGTGGACAACTGGACAAACAGCACTACAAAGGTTCAATACAGCCTTCCTTCGAGATACTGACAAACTTAATGAATTCAAGATAGCTCTCAACAACAGGTTCCAAGCCTTACAAGATCTGCTGAAAAAAGAAGGAACTACTATGGAGGACAACTGGACAGGTATCAAAGAAGTATTGACTTCAACGTGTCAGGAGATTCTGGATCTCAAGAAGCATCATCAGAAGGAATAGACCTCTATAGAAACACCGGACAAGACCAAAGGAAGGAAGAAAAGGATGACAGCAATTAACAAAAGAAAAAGTCAAGGCGTAAGTTGAGTTCACAGAAGCAAACAAGCATGTGAAGAAGAGCATTAAAGCCGACAAGCAGAAATCCGTGGAAGAACAAGCAGCTGCAAGAGAATGAAATATGAAACACCTATATGATACAATGAAGAAACTAGCAGGGAAATATAGTAAAGCAGAGACTAGTCAAGGACAAAGAAAGCAGGACAATTACTGAAATTCAACAACAGCGGAACAGATGGGTAGAGTATTTCGAGGAACCCTTGAATAGACCAGCTCCAATGAATCCACCGGACATCGAAACAGCGCACGCAGATACTCCTACAGATGTCAATCGACCAACGACGGAAGAAATTGGAATGGCCATCAGATAAATCAAGAGTGGGAAAGCGGCAGGACCTAATAATATACCAGCTCAATCACTGAAGTCAGACATCGAAGTAACTACAAACATGCTTCACCTTCTATTCAAGAAGGTTTGGGAGGAGGAACAAGTGCCGATGGGCTGGAAAGAAGGACACCTCATCAAGATTTCAAAGAAAGGAGATCTGAGCAAATGTGAAAACTACAGAGGCGTTACACTACTGTCAGTACGAGGGAAAGTCTTTATCAGAGTGTTGCTGAACCGGATGAAAGACGCAGTAGACCCCCAACTTCGAGATCAACAAGCTGGATCGGTAGTGCACAGACCGAATCGCGACACTGCGGATCATCGTCGAATAATCAGTTGAGTGGAACTCGTCACTGTACATCAACTTCATCGATTATGAAAAGGCATATGACAATGTAGATAGAAGGACGTTAAGGAAAGCTCTTCGACACTACGGAGTTCATGAGAAGATTGTCAACATTATCCGGACTACAGTGCAAGGTGGTGTATGGAGGACATCTGACAGATGCATTCCAAGTAAGGACCACCTGTCTACTCTCTCCCTTCCTCTTTCTTCTGGTGGTCGGCTGGATTATGAAGACCTCGACATATGAGGGAAAACACGGCATACAATGGACAGCTCAGAACCAACTAAAAGATTTGGACTTCTCAGATGACATAGCCCTCCTATCGCATACACTCGAACAAATGCAGATAAAGACAGCCAATGAAGCAGCACCGCGAGACAAGCGCTAACTTGGAATCCTGAAGAGAAGTGGAAAAAATGAAGGCTAAAGAACACATTACGTCAGGAAATAGAATCAGATATGAAAAGGAT